CATAAAGACGTGCGTGCATATGTACACACTACACATATACACACCATATACATACACACAGCAAACACACATACCTACTGCACACATAAACACACACATGCATCACATACATACACATGGCACATGTACACACACAGCACACGTGCAGCACACAGGCAGCACACACACACACACACAGGATGACTAGAGAGTAACACCACAGGGAACCCAGGCATGGCACCCACCCCCTGATGCCATGGGGTGGGAACGAGGGTGCCCATTCCCCAGAGGTAGCGTAGTGCCGGGTCTGAGCTCTTAAAGCTAACTATTAATGCAACAGACTTTCAAATAGAAAGCCCCTTCTCTACGGCAGAGGTCCCCTGGCTCACTTGGCTTCCTGGTGACTTTCCGTGTTTGGGACACTTCTCAGGGCAGACTCGTGACCCACAGGATAGCAGACAGCAAGCAGCCTCCCCATCCACCATGCTCTGACTGCCTGGGAACAGTCTCTGTTCCTCTAACGGGCACAGGGCAGCCTTCCTGGAAATGATCCCCAAACATCCAGATTGCAGGAGGCACGGTGGAGGCTGCAGCCGGCGTTTGCCCAGCGGCCGGCCTGGATTTAGGCCTCTGTTAAGGAGAAGCGAGAAACCCTGGGCTTTCACGCTGGAAAGGCCGCAGATGCGCCTCTGGGGGAGCAGGTAAAAGCCTTAATATGGCCAGGTCCAAGTTTAGGTGGCTGTTTCTGCTAAAACACAGACCAGTGGAGCAGGCCCCTGGGAGGGGGCAGAAGCCTGTGACAGGAGGCCTCACTTGGCCCCCAGAGGCCCTGGCCTCTCTCTCACCTAGAAAGTTCCTTTCCATTAGAGTGAGTCGCTGACAGGCTGAGGACGGAGCTGAGTTGGATAATCTTGAGAGTGACTAATAGGAGTGATCGCCGAGGCCCAAGGACACCCTCCGACATGGAGGGCAGTAAGTCCCGGTCACGTCCATGGGGCTCTGGTTAAGAGGGGCTCGCAGAGGCTCTGGTCAGTCGGCACTGCGGAGACAGACACACTGCGTGAGCAGCCCCTTCCGGTCCCAGGCCGGGGACCTTCGTGACCTTCGCCCTCCTTTATGAATGCACCTCTGGGCATTCTGGAGACTCGGTTACCGAGGAGACATTGGCTTCCTCCTTCTGTGGTGGATTTTTTTCAGGCATTTTCAGAGCAAACATGTTGAGAGTGGGAGGCCCTGTTTTGAGAGGGCCCCGAGAGGCAGCGGGATGAAGGCACACATACCTGTCAACGACATCTTTGCAGAAAAGCATACCAAAGCGTGGGCAATTTGGGAGAACCCACAGACCACTGGTCAGGGACGTACCTGGAGTCAAGCAAATTTCCTGAGCAGGAAATTTTCAGTTTTCCAATTTCAGAAACTGATGTGAACTGTTTATCTTCCTCTGCACACGGCACACACATAAACACATACATACATATACAGAGTAAGTAGAAACAATAGAAGCTACTGATGAAGCAGAAATGAGTTTACCCAGCAGGAGAGTGGAGAATCTAGAAAATGTGAAAAAATGGAACATCCACAAGAGAGAGAATAGAGGAGACGATGTCGAGAGAGGAAATTAAAAATGTCAGGGTTGGTTTGGACCTTGATTTACCTGTTGAAAATGAAAGGATATTTCACATTCTGAACGACGCACCAGTAATGACAGGTTCACCGCTTAATCAGAAGAATCCAGCAAATTAATAGGTAATTCTGATAGAATAACGAAGCCTCTGTCGGGT